GGGGTCCTATTAAGGGCTATCTATAACCGTATTGTACTTATTATCCAACTGTTACTAAGGGGGAGCAGTACCCAACCTAAATCCTTAAACACTAAACCCTGAACCCTAAATCTTAAGCCATGAACTCTAAACTCTAAACCTGAACCCTAAATCCTACAGCCTCAAACCCCCTTCGGCCTCGTAAGGCCTAGAGCATGCATCTTGAACCGTGAAAACTCCTGAAACTAACTTTAGCCTTGAAAGTTCAGGTATAATGCGCAAGCCTGAGCAAGTACCGATGGTCCATGAAGGTGAAAGGTTTTTTGTCGTTTAGAGTAACCCAGACCCCTAATATCATGATAGGGGATATTGGGAATATATGGGGATAATGGAAATGAAAATGGAAACTACAGGAATATAGGGGCTATAAAGGGATTATAGAGTATATGTTGGGGTTTTTGGGGGATAATGGAAAAGAAAATGGAAACTACCATTTAGGGTTTAGGGTTTAGGATTAATAAACCCCCCAAAACCCTTAATAGGGATTATAGTAGGGATCCCAATATTAAGGCCCTTAAAAGGAGGGGGTTTATTGATCATGGGACTACATTACCAACATTATTCCCTTACACCCCTTGTGCAACTGTGATATCATATGCTACACCCAACAGTAATTTGATGGGCCCTACATTAGCCCTTCAAATGTGCTCGAAAATCATTAAGCAGCGCTTGCCCATCGTACAGCAGGAACAGCTTCGCCACAGCTTTAGGCGTCTCGTGCCTCGAGAGCGAGGGAGGCGTGCAGCACAGTACTTCCCCTTTTGGCAGGGTTCTGAATTTAAAGGGCTTCTATCGAGTTGGTGGGCAGACCTACCACACTCTGTCTTACCAAGACACAACGACTTACTGTCTGGCTGGAGAAGCCTGAAACCTAGGTTCCCTAAACCCTAAACCCTGAACTCTAAACCCTAAACCAAGAACCCTAAACCCTAAACCCCTAAACCCTAAACCCCTAAACCCACCTAGGGACGTCAAAGGCAGATGCTTGGGCCATCGTAGGGGGGGCAATTGGGAATCTTCAAAAACAAAAAAGCTGGACAAGAAGACCAGTGGCTTCCTCCCGAACCATTGCCTTTCTGGCTTAAGGTTCAGGGTGGGTGGAGGTTTAGGGCTTAGGGCTTAGGGTTTTAAGGTTCAGGGTAAAGGTTTAGGGCTTAGGGTTTGAATTGAGGGCTTAGATTTCAGGCACGAGGTTGAGGGTCCGGCACCCACGGTTTTTGCGTTCCACGTCGTGAGTTCTAGGGTCCCGTGTTTCCGGCTTAGGTTGTGATATACAGGCCCCAGGGTTCAGGGTTTAGGGTTTAGGGCTCAGGGTTTAGGGTTTAGGGCTTAGGGTTTAGGGTTTAGGGCTCTAGTTGTTTGAAGAGTCAAGCTTGAGTGTGGAGAGGTTTCATCATCGCAGCCGCCCTT